CAACGGTGATCCAAGGCAGCATTTCCCGGGCCTGGTAATTCATTCACGCATCACATGGAACCAAGTAACCACCAAGCTTGCTAATAGCCGGGTTTCGAAACATATTACATAAATGGCGAATAGCGCGCTTGTTTGGTTACTTGGACAGACATGATCAAACCAAAATGCTTCATACAGCGATGAAAACGATAATAACCTAGTAAGCCAAGCAAATGCACCGATAGTGCCAACGCAACGAGCAAAGCCTACCTTATAGTCGTAGATGGGCCACAGCCGTTCGTAGGAGTGCTCGTGGGCCCAAATCTCAACGTCCACGCCGTACTCGTAGAACAGGTCTTCCAGACCGAACCAGTGCGTGAAGGGTAGGCCCACGCGCACCAGCGTTTCACTATGGGTGCAATCGTTATCGTTCTCATTGCTGCAGTACATTGGTCGGTGGCCGTAGGTGATGATCCAGGGACGTTGGGCACGGTTTTCCGGCCGGTTCGCTTCCTCCAGGTCCCGCCGCAACCACTCGTACTGGTTGATCAAGGTTTTCAGTCCGTAGTTCATGAAGTAGTACACCTCGGTCGAAAATCCGATGAAGTGGACCGGCCCCAGATTAAAGCTGTACATCATGTTTTCCGTTCCGCTGGGCATGCTGAACCGGGCTCGGTAGTTGGAGAAGTTGCTGGAAGGAATTTGTCAAACAAATGTAAAACATCCAAGGCAATGTTATTGTCTTACTATTTTTCCTCGTGATTCCCGGCACACACCATGTACGGTGTGTAGGCCGCAATCGACTGGATCTGGTTCATGAACTGGTCTCCGACCAAGGCGTTGTCCGAGTTCATATCGTACGCAAAGTCCCCTACGTGTATGATCGCATCGTACATGTGCCGCTGGGTGTCTTCCTGCAGCCGTGCCATCGACTGTGCATTTTCGTTACCCATGTCACCGAAAATGGCTAACGAAGGAGCCCAGTCCGATCCCTCCGGAACCGTGTGGAAGTAAAACTCCGGCGACCAACCCACCGTGCTTCCGCAGTGGTACTCGTAGCGAGAAGATGGCTGCAGATCCCGCAACACCACCCGATGGATGTATTGCGTATGCTTTTTAGGGCCTCCATCCTCGAACTTCTCCTCCGTTCCCGTTGCCCTGGGTCAAACAGAAACGAAATTAGTCCCCTGTCGGAACGTCATTTGCAATTTACCCTCCCCTGTATGATTCTGGGTACTTCCGGTAATTCAGGATAAGGATTCAAGAGCACAGTTAGATCACAGACAAACAGACCTATCACTCGCAAGTTCTTCATCGAACAAGCATTTAACGGTCAATTTAAAAGTATCGTAGTTGGTAGTACCACCGTCTGTGGCGCGCATAGTGAATTCCCTTGCGTTTGACGTTTACACACTACCGCCATCTGTTCAGCGTACTACCCACCACAGTGTACTCAACAGATGGCGGTAATGTTTTAGCGACGATGTTTGACAGTGGTAAATATTCAATGTGTTATGTCTGTTTGTCTGTGGTTAGATCTTCTCACGTTTATTCACTCTCCGCACGTTGCAACACAACCGTATCTGCTAGCTTTCCTGTCTAACTAGCTCAATCAATCCTATGCCTACTTCCATCTATTTATGATATCCTACATCCCCCCTCCCGATTTTCGCCAAGATTTAGCCGGTTCGCGTCGGTATGATCGACCGATTTTGGTTCAGACGAAATTACAGATTGTTACATCGACTTATAATCTGGGATTTCATAATATGCGAGATCGGCAAATGCAATTCGCATTGCAATCGACTAAAAGCTGCTAAATAGACCGATGATTGGTCGGTGCACCACTAAACTACTGATAAGTCATCCGACTTATTCGGTGTATCAAACAGATGATTTCGTCGGCACCCGTTTTCGTCTACTGTTTAATCAGTTCTTGCCCCTTAAAAAATTACATACACGTCGCCTGATGTGAAATTTCTCATCTGTCAGTTTTGTTATGGGGCCGGAATTGCATAAAAACTGAAGCTTCTGACTGATCAACTATATCTACCTGTATCACATTTCCACCCCCCTAAAACCATCGAGCCGAACATACCTCAGGGCGAATCCTCCGATGCCGTACTCCACCACGGATTCGTTCGTTGCCGTCATGGTGCTCCATGTTACCACTACCTCGCTGGTGGACTCACCAAAGGCCAGATGCACCTGTTCCGGTTGGTAGTAGAACACCTGACCGGCTGCCAGATGTGCCAGCAGCGCCAACAACAGTAGGGCTATGCCCCCCGGACGGACGTCAATAGTTAAGAGCATTACTCTATCACTTCTAGTGCATCTAATCGCACGCACCGTTGTTTAAAGAATACTGCTTAAGCTTGCTTTCACTTGATTGAGAGGCAGCAACTTGTTTACGAGTCTTTGTTCTTGAAAAATTGATTAAATAATATTATGATAAGCGCAGAGGCAACGGACTGCGGCCAAAGCTTGTTCCACTTTCTGCTGTGACTGGACTGATTATTTTTGTTTTTGTATTGGCGTCTTGCAGTGAAACTTTTCTAAGCTTTCGCCTCCTACATTTCGAAGTGAGAACTACTAGAAGGAGGATAGTTTCCAAATTTTCCAAGTAAAACAGACGATTTTTGGGGCAAATCGGTCCATAAAGTAAAACTAATAATTTCCCGTGGAAACTTTTGCTTGAATCGTGTAAGAAAACGTGTTTGAAAACTAATTGCTATTATTCCGGTATGGATCGGAGATGTTTTCATGGAAAATAATGCATAACAAGTTTGCACCCACAGGAAGAGGTTACCTCTTGCGCAGCTGCATTTTTCGGAAAATGGTGAATATGTGCGATTTCCACTAAGATGAAAGTGGAAATTAAGTGAATTTACTTAGGAAAGGTTGTATCATGCTGGTGGTAATGAAGAATTGGTTGTATAGGACGCCAATATTCAATAAATGTTCATTTTGGCTTTTTCTAAGCAAACATATTGATACTCACAATTTTCGACGAAAAACGCAACGGAACTTGCTTTACTCAACACGCACCATACTATAAAATGGTGCTAGATGGTCTTCAAAGTGATAACAAGATGACAAATCATCTTTATTTTGAGTAATTGAGCAATTAACTTCTGTTTACATCATACTTACGATGCAGCATTGATGGAGCCGCGAAATGAAATGAATATATCTTATGAAAGTTCAATTGGAAAAGTCAAAGATGCACATCAGTCTGATCGTAAAAACGTTTTCTTCTTCAATTCGAATGTTATATTGGAAGGATTTTACACAGGCTTGATGAAAATTATGATTAAACGCTAATTTTCACGAATTTTATATGCAGTCTGTCAACATTATCATCATCATGCAGTGGCGACATCTGCGTTGAGCTTTTACGGCAATCTTCCAATTGCATCGAACTCGTGCGAGTGAAATTCCCATATCCGGAGTAAATTGTGATTAGGGCGAAACTAGCAAAATGTAAAGAAATGGAGATTTTACAGCAATCATGACGGAGCAGGCAAAGATCTACTAACAAATATTGCTTCTTTTATATTGCATCTTTTATAATTGTTTCGACTTCTGTGATAATCATTCCGCGGCTCAACTCTTATTTCGCACTGTCAAACTGACATTACAGTGACGTTCGGTTTGATCAACATATGTGTTTATTTACAAACAAATGATTTCAAAATATTATTATTCCTTGTGACTGAACTTCATTTCCATTAATACAGAAGAAGTGATCTGGTAAACATTAAAAAGAATACATTTATTAATTAAAAACATAATTGAATAATGACGCTCTGTTCAATTAGATATGGCGAATATTCTGGTAGAGGTGAAAAACCGTCGAGCTACAGTCAACACAGTTTATCATGTACTGTATGGTTATTACTTCTTGGGGCTTAAAAGAGCACAACTAGCCATAATATACAAGAAAAATAATACGACACTTTCTAACTGGATACGAAGATACGAGGATGATGGATTCTTAAACCGAACCAGCTATACCAGAACAGCACAAAAATTTGGGGCGGAAAAACGACGATGGCTAGTGGAGTTTTACCAATCCAAGCCAACTATATTCCTGGACGAAGCAGCAAAACTCAGGGGGCGACCCCGGCGTAGTGGTTAACATCTATACCTCTCACGCCAAAGTCACGAGTTCAAATCTCACCCCCGGACAAGTCACGAATGACCCAAGAGTGTTAAAGTGACTATAATAAAAAAAAGAAGGATCAAAACTCTTTTTAAAACATTTCCATATAACCATTTCTGCAGCATCCATTTGTAGAATTCTTCATCACGAAGGAATGTCGTGGAAGACAATTGAACGAAGAGCCATACAGATACGTGAAAGTGACATTATCAGATGTTTTAATGAACTATGAGCTCTGCAGTGGGATTACCACAACCTTTTGTTCATTGACGAAGTGGGCTTCGATAACAAGGCAATGTTGCGAACAAAAGGATTTGGAGTTCGTGGAAAGCGACTTCTGTTTAAAGGTGAATTTGTTCGCAAACCTCGAGAATCGCTTTTGTGTTTTGCAGGGCAAGGTGGAATGGTAGAAGTTTGCCATACTGAAGGAACATTCACACGATCTAAATTCTTTGAGTGTTGTAAAATGTTTGCTCTTAACAGTGGACATGTTCAACACCATCCAGGGTTCCATTCCCTCTGGATTCTCGATGGGGCACGAATCCATTGTGACCCCTATTTGGTGTATTATTTAAGATCACTGGGGATACATTTGGTGTTCTTACCAGCTTATTGTCCCCATATGAACCCAATCGAGGTACTTTTCCGAATGTGCAAAACACGGCTTCAGCGTGAATACGATGAAAGTGGAAAAATCAACCTCAAATACATGGTTGCTAAAATAATGAAACATTTTTCCAACTACAATATGCACAACCTGTTCTGGAAGTGCGGATATATGAAAGGTGGTAAGTTTGATCCTACTGTAAACGATCAATCGAACCTGTCGGTGTTTGAATTTGAAGAAAATAGCACCAAGAGGACTTCAAATTAGATGAACCGTCAACACATTTCTGGTTTGATCAAATAAAACTCTTTTGTACCTATTTTCGGATAAGCCACAACAAATTCATGTATTTTATTTCACATCCCATTTCGTAAAATCTTACATCATGTGGTCAACATCTTCAGCATCTTGTACTCTAGACGAAATGGAAGCGGAAAACTCACTCTCCTTCACGTTTAGAGCTGACTCAGCAGAACTAATGAAAGATTCACCCAGTTGGCTCCTTAGCATCAGATTTTCCAGTAGTCGTTCCAAAGCGGAAATCCTCTGTGTTTGCTCTTGATGTATTTCTTTAACCGCAGTGAATGCATCCATAATTTTCGTAATATCTGCATGGTAGCCATCGTTCACGTTGGGAGCAACACGATACTCTCGACGGATTCTCTGAATATGTTCGCCTTCTTTAATTGAAAACAGATCCAAGCAGCTAGCAGGAGGAGTCGAATCATTCTTCAATGCCTCGTGCTGATGAGCTGGTGCAGTTAAAATTGTATTTGCCCAGATGCTCCACGCTATTTCATGCCCATTCCAGATGTGTCCGTGCTTCAGTTGTAATTCTTTCGCCAACTCCTGAGCGTATTCCGTCGCCGCAGCACTTCCTCGATTTCTTGGAATTGTGTCAATTAATGATTTCTCTACTTTTTTCCATACGGTCTTCGAATTGACTGTCAGTGAATATTTGTGAAGTAGCAACTCGACAGAAGATTTGGTGCGCCAGTTTTGCAGAATATTAGTTGTTAGTTTATCCACTGTGATTGCTCGACGATTTTGTTTGTCGTAAAACAAAGCAAAATGAACTAAATCGGTTTCATCGATTGCCTCCTTCGGGCTCCAGTTGTAGGTGATGTTGCCTTCATCATCACAAACAGCTATGATGTGTCGGATGAGATGCTTTTTGGACTTTTCCCATACGCTATGCAGGAATTTTTCGACGGTATCAGCGTATATTAACCAAGTATCGAGCTCCTCCGTCGAAGTTTGTCCTTTGAAGTCGCGCAGCGACACAACAAGGCTGACGACGAACAAAGTAGTTTCATCGTCGTCGATCGATCCACTAGACTTCTCTGAGCTTTGGCCCAAGCAACCAGTACCAGCTTCCTCACCGATTTCCATTCCGGGATTCAGTGCATCACAATTCGCAGCTTCTTTTTCGAGTTCGTCAGAATCTAACAGGCGCTCTTCCGGGTATGGCTTCCCTAATAAAAAATAACCATAAACGAACGATAACCCAAATCATTGAACTATTCCACAAATTGTTTGGATGATACCCAGAACACGTCGTTAAGCAAATTAACCATACAATTTTTATTAGGGTAGTCAATAACATTAATAATTGTGTTTTTAAGCTTGAAAACAGCGAGAAAAACTTACCGAACGGTTTCAGCTAGCAAAAAGTCCTATTCACTTCATACGAAAACGAAATCAACGATGCGCAAAACAAAACAAAAACAAACAGCTGTCAAAGCTGCAAGTCCATTAGAATGAGGTAATGCCAGTAATTGAAACCCCATATAAAAATGTAAGTTGACCTGGATAGTAGAACAACTTTGCAGGTAGCGAAATCGTGTGCGAGATTCGACTGTGATAATCGTGTATTTCGGAGTAGTCTAAACGGGTGTAAATGTCGCAATAAATCAATATTCAATATTATTATCAATATTGCATATTTACCACACAGGCTACAGTAAACGAGCAAATGAAGTAAATCGATTGTTTAATCGACAAAAAGATTTTTTTCTCACTTTTTAAGATTATTCGGACTTGTTTGGGGATGAAATTTGAACTCGTTACCTTTATTGTGAGAGGCATGGATGCCAACCTCTACGCCAAACAAACATAGTGTAGTACTAGAATTTCGACTAGAATTGGGTATGGTAATCGATTTGCTTGAGACCAATAGGCTACACGGATAGAAATCTCCTTATACCTTTTGGCAAATTTCCATTGCTGATTATTCATAAATTGTATAAGTCAACAAATAAGCAGATGCCTTGCAAAAAGTTAATAAAGATCATGTGTCAAATGAAATGTATAAGCGGTCACACATACCTTTTATGCATTCTAATAGGACCTATGTGGTTTGTCTTATGGAATGTATAAGGCTGATGCTTTGGCAAAAATGTATAAGTGAAACACATGAATTAAATAATTGATTTTCGTTTCGTGTAGTCAAGTAGTGAGCCTATTTTAAATTCTTAGTTTCCACCGGTTGATAGTACCTAGTACCAACAATCAATACGAAACTAACGATTTTAAATTGGCTCACCACTTTAGTAGCCTATTGGTCCCAAGCAAACGATTAACGTACCCTATTCTAGTTGAAATTCTATTACTACACTATGTTTGTTTTGATTCGCTATGAAAGTTTGACAGATAACATCAGGGGTGTGTGGATTCATGCAGAACATGCAGGGGTGAGTGAAATAGCTTGGGACTGCTTGGGACCGTTGTTCTGGTACTGAGTGAGCCAAAAATAATAATGATTTTCTTTGGGACCCAGTGGTCTTAGAGTTACCTCTATGCTAGTACCACCGGTGAAAACTAACGATTTTAAATTGACTCACTACTTGACTAACCTATTGGTCCCAAGAAAGTCGTTTAACGTGCCCCATTCTAGTCAAAATTCTAGTACTACATTTTGTTTGTTTTGAAGTTTGACGGATAAAATGAGGGGTTCGTGGATTTCCCCATGTTTCGAGGGGTGCATCGATTAGCTTGGGGCCGAAGAGAGCACCAGAGCTGAGCCAAAAAGTTAAGCACGTTTCTTCGGGACTTAGTCTTAGCAACAATCAATACGAAACTATCGATTTGAAATTGACTCACTACTTGACTAGCCTATTGGTCCCAAGCAAACGATTAACGTACCCCATTCTAGTCGAAATTCTAGTACTACGCAATGTTTGTTTTGATTCGCTATGAAAGTTTGACAGGTAAAATGAGGGGTTATTTATTTTTTCTATGTTTCGAGGGGTGAATCGATTAGCTTGGGACCGAAGAGAGTACCAGAGCTGAGCCAAAAAGTTGAGCACGTTATTTCGGGACCTTCTAGTCCTAGAGTTACCTCTATGGTCTTAGAGTTACCTCTATGCTAGTACCTTGTCCCACCCACATATTTGAAGGTGGACGTGCCTCTGCCGTAATCCAACTGATTAAACTGAAAGAAAGGGCACTGGGTTCATAAAAATGCCTGCCACATCGCTTCCACAGTAATTCGCAGCCAGACAGTAAAGCTGGTCCCGGAGTCTGCTGTCAACACACCAGCGAAGGAATCCTGCATGGAGAATTCTTCCAACCAGAGCTCTGCTGGTGGAAAATTATTGTGGAAAAGTTTAATTTAATTAAGATTCTGATAAAATGAACGGAGCTTGGAACGGAGGAAATCAACGGATGATATGATAATATCGGGAATCTTTTAGAAATAACGTTCGATCAAAATAGTTAACATATCTAAACTTAGTCCTAAGTTAACAGTTCGTAGAACCCCATCCTTTTCTTAAATAATATGCAGCTTAATGAGTGTCGTTCCCTGGGCGACTCCCGTCGTTTTTTGAATACTATCCAGCTTTCCATGCTCGGTAATGGCGGTCTGTGCTATTAACACTAACTGGAGGGCGTATGTTGTTCCATTTTCTTCTGTTCCTGGGAGAGGGAAAGGGAGGGGTCAAAATCCGAACCTCCAGATAGCACAGTGAAGGTTACATTTATTCATACAAACAGGTCGCCATTACCGAGCATGGAAAGCTGGATATGAAACCTACACTGATAAAACCGAGGATAAAACAGCAAAGATTTTATATATGTGATTTCACACATAACTTTCACGAAACGCTCCACACATAAATTTTATAACCAACTCATAAGCTTCATGTGTATTACATATGCGAAGTATGTGTGTTTCAAATAACCGTCATGTGAAATGACATATGGGAAAAAATTATGTGTGGGCACACATAAAACAAATTTACTCCCGACTTAACAGGGGAATTTCAAAATGGAGACGGAAAACCAGTAGGGTAGAGCGCTATAGTAAGTATACTTCGTCGTAATCGCCCATTTCCGTTCTACCGATCAGAAAAGATCAATACTATCAATGATTTTACCGTGTACAAATCAATAATAGGTTTGTTCCGTTGCGTTAGTTCATTAGCTACAACATAAATCCTGTTAGAGCGCATTGTATGAATATTTACACTCATTGTTCTGAAAACAAAAGGAGCGTTCCTAGCGAATCCCCTTTTCCTACGTTTATCCGTAGGACGAAGACAATCTAATGGCGTTTCAATGCGTTACGACGGAATTGCAACTCGTAGAACGAATTTAGAATCAAGAAGCAGTATTAGATTTCAAACAATATCTCAACAATTTGTGACTCTTTATCAAATCCAACGGTACATACGGAGAGGTAAATAAATTTAGAAGTCATCTTTGACAGAAATATTCCATTTTTGGTTTAAACTCGTTCAGAAAAGAGAGGTAATACACGGGTTGTCCTTAGTAAGACGGAAATTAGATCAAAAACCCTATGTAAACATTGTGGAAAAATTTGAAGGTGAAATTTGAGGAAAATTTGTGTAAGATTATGATTTTGACTTGAATTCTAATTTCAGTAACCTTCGATATTAGGCTGTGTGCAGTTTCCGGAACAGGACATGACGCTAAGCTACCATCCAAACAGTGGAATCCGAGGTAGAATCGCTCTGCAAACCTTGCTACAAACCAAACAGGTTGCTTTGAAGCTCATCAATTCATGGTATCGCAAGAGCAACCCATAGAATCTTCTCAAAACTCCTCCGCTGCTTTGTTATAACGGAGCAAAAATCGTGCCTTTTTATCGTGAACGATTACATGAAGCCGGTTTCCAGATAATTCTTACTCGACACATAATGGAGGGACCGGTTGTGTCCGGACACGACGGCATCCGCCTTTTATGAGCTCGAGTGCATTGTATTCCTATTTCGTGGTATTTATTAAAATTATGCTGCGTTGGTGAACGATTTAATAAATATATTTTATTATATCCTCCTTTGTCAGGGCTCTACATTTTCGAAGCTCTAAAATGAACTCGAGTTTTGTTTCTCTCATACAAACGTGTTCAACGCTTCATTTCTATGCCGCCTTGCTAAACTATCGGCAAGAAATGATAATGAAGAAGAAGCACGCTTAGAAGGAAACGCTGGCTGTGGATCTTCTCGTCGTTGCTTTGCTCATCGCTTTCAATGTTAAACGAAACCTAATTATGGCTTTCAATCCCCTTTCACGAACACTCTATCACCGCTCTTTCAATTTGTTTAAAATGCGTTATGTCCCGTTTTCGTTAATTTTTTTTAGATAAATATGTGGATGTAAGATAAATTAAACATATTACGTAATCTTCAAGTGTTTTCACGTGAGAAATGCTTTAAATATGTAATTTCATTTTCCGTCATATACGTCATGAAACCTCTGTTGATGTGTTTCATGAAAGAGAAAACTATCAAAGTCGAGCGCTCTTTCGCTCATCCGTTTCACCGAAGCTTGAAAGGAAGACCAATGGAGCGACGGGAGAAAGAGAGACAAACGATTGAACATTTGTTTATGCACGCCGACTGAGGTGCTAGAATGCTGCGAAACTGTTCGACTTTAACAGCAAAAGAAAGCCAGCAGTCTCTTTGTCGCATCGATTTGGTCGATTGAAGCTGATATTGTGACGCCCTGGCTTGTATTCTACAATATATTCCGAACATTTTAAATTAATGTATCATAATCAAAAACAAAAAAGGCTAATTGAAATCATTTGTCACTAGCTATAATTTTCATTTATGATCACACATAAAACTTATTGAATGGCGAATGAAACTAATTATGTGTCTCACACATAAATATTATTTGTGACATCACATTGCAAAAATTTATGTGTGTGTCAAACAATCGAAATATGTGCAATTTTCTCATTGTATTTAAAGGGGAGATGTTGGAGCAGTTATAAAGCCATAATTTTCTTAATTAATGTCATACACAGAAAATAAGTCATAAGACCTTGCATAAGACAGTAAGAAGTTTTTCCAAAGAACATAATAATATAATAACTAAAAATGAGTATTTTTATACCCATTAATAGGTGCTCCATGTTACAGTGCAGGGCTTCATCGGCCCAAAGCTTGTTGACATCCCTAATACATTCCTCTTGTTCACTGTTTCGCTTTCCATTTTGTTCACAAATAACCCACCGAAACTGCCGGCTATTTTGACAGTAGGTTATGCTCGCTCTTCTCAATGTGTGTGTGAGTGCGACGGGTTTTGCATCACGGTTCGTTTCGTCGGTCGAGAGCAACATAAATAACTTCACTGGTTCCAGTCGGGTCGTACTCCTGCAAAACGTGAAAATTATTTTTGAAAACAAACAAACCGAGTGGTTCTACGTTTGTCCTTGCCGCGATCGTGGTGCTTTTGTGCGTGAATTCCAGTGTCCCGAGTACGCAGTGCTAAACGTGCAACAGGTCCGTCCGTGTGAGTGAATCCGGAAATCAGAAGATTCAGTGTTTTCCGCCGAGTGACAGCCGGTTTTCTTCGCCGTCGGGGATTATTGCTTTTGCAATCCACATGCGGCATCCGAAAATTTACGGTACATCTCACAACAACATACCGTCCCATTAATTGTTTTTCTTTCCGCCGTCGTTGTGTTGTACAGTGGGTACTGCTTGCTGTGTGGTTGCAAAGACGGGACATTAATTTATTTCCGAATAGATAGGTCCGGGCGAACGTCGTGCGTGGGCGGTCAGTAGGGGAAACGGATCGCGAGGAATTTCTACACCGCATACGCGGCAGTCTCAATGCTAGTTTGTTTATTTTTGATTAGATTTCGGTCTTTTATTCGATAGTGATAAGAGAGTGAAATTTACAGGAGAATTATTTCGTTATAGTGAAGACCAAGTTTCCGTAATTCGTGAAGATTTTTTTTTTCGCGCATTGTGTGTGTTTTATTTATAACCTTCAGGGGGGACGTATTCATCAGTTGGAGACTTGCTTTTTTTAAATGGCCTATATCTATGTTCGATGATCATTTTTCAAGCTGCATTTAGTTTATTTCTCATTCAAAATGATGAATCAAGCTGGACTAATATGATATCTTATTGGCGAAAGGATATAAATATGGTTGTAATTGATTTAGACAGTCGTTTGATGAATACGTCCCACATTCGGAGAGCAGACCGGTAGCTCACAAGGTTACTAAATAACGCGTTCGCGTGCTGTTTGCTTTCGTTGTCGTTCCCCATTCTCGGCGTACCAGCAGCAGCAGCAGATAGTCTATACCGTTTTAAAAAGACATAAATCACCGTCGCCAGATACGAGAGAATTTGTGGCGCTCTCAACGGAAAAAAAGAAAGGACACATCTTTGCCTCGTCTGTCTAAGAGTAACTGGCTATGACCGGTCCAACAATGGCCACTATGGGAGGTAAAAAGTTATCGATGAGCAAGCAGAACGAGCTCAATTCGCTGGTCGATTCGCTTATCAAGCATAGTTTCCTCAAGACGACCAATCTGAACGAGCAGTTCAAGCAGTATCAGGATATGTATGCGGTACTGGAGCGGATCCGCAAGTTGGAATCGGAGCTCAAGTTGAAGACCAACAGTGGAAAACCACGGCAGGCCAACATCGAGGCATTCTACCGATGGGCCAAGGAGCACGGTTGCGAGTTTGATGGCGTAAAGATTTCGGAATTCTCCGGTTTCGAATTGGGACTGGAAGCGACCCGGGATTTCAAGGAAGGAGAAATGTTCGTAACCGTTCCGAAGAAGTTGATTTTCTCGGTCACGGCCGACAGCAAGATTCCGGACATTATGAAGGACATTCCGGTGATGATGGTGCAGAACCTGTCCAACTTGATGCTGGCTTTGCTGTTGATTGTGGAGCGCTTCCAGCCGAATAGTGTTTGGAAGCCGTATCTGGACGTGCTGCCGGATCGCTACTCAACGGTTATGTACTTTAGTCCGGCCGAGATGGCCGAACTGAAGGGTACCAGCGCGTACGGGGCGGCGCTGAGCCAATGTAAGAACATTGCTCGGCAGTACGGTTTCATCAAGAAGTTCATCCAGAGCAAGACGCCGCTGCTGAAGGACAACTTTACGTACGATTTGTACTGGTAAGTGATCTGTTTTTATTATTTTAGGTCGATAGGGGGAAGTAGGAATGCAAATGTGAATCATTTGTTTTGTTTTATAGTTTGCCATCCCAACACAATACTCTAAATCTTCGTCGAAACAGTTTCTATAAATCTGGCCTGATTTATATGCAAATTTAATTGAAAGCACACTCCGCCCGAAAGCTGGCCATAGGTACCTACCTTTTTTTGCGGCCAGAACTCTGAAATTGCATTAATTTTTTCACCGGAAGTTTGAAGCTAGTTGCTGCGAATCGACTGAGGCACGGTTTCGAGGAAAACCAATCGACTGAAATTGGCTCCAGTGTATTGTTGAGCGCTCACAGAGCGGCGGCGAGAAGCTTCAAGCTGAAGCTCGAAACCCAATAAGTCTGATAATGGAAGGTAGCGATTATAAAGAAGAAAAAGAAAAACTTTAAATGGGTTTGTTTTTAATTTTTCAATTTTATTTGTCCTTTTTCGGTTTGCTGTTCAGCTTCCGCCTGCCTGCCTTTTCTTTCCGGAAGTGGAAATGGCAGGGTTCTCGCGCTCATTTAAATACAGATCATTATCATTATTGGTTGGTTTCGGTTGGAGATAAATTCATATACGGTTGAAACGATTTCAACATTTGCTAACGAACGGGTGTCAAATTGACTAATGAGCGGAACGGTGACGATCTCGAATTGAACTGGTTGGAATGATTTGTGTTTATTTGTTTTATTTAATATTTTTTTTTAACTTTGCGCCAGTCTCTTATTTGATATCTTACATTTTCTTGAATTTCAATGAAATGTTCACTTTCTTGTTTGTTTGTTTGTCTAAATGTAATCCTTAAACTAAATCGCTATCGCTAATGGGCAATGAGGGTTTCAAGGGCGGGGTTGGGGGTGGTGATTAAGTAGCTTATACATGAATGGCTACGAATGCTGCTCATAAATTATCGCTCGTTAGGTACTAAATTAAAATGTATCGGGTTTCTTTATTGTTTAGTGATATTATCATGTTCCGATTGTGGTTTGCTCATTTGTATTGCACATTTCACACTTACTTTCCTATTTGTTGAGCTTTTTTTTTTTTCTTCTTCGGTTTGCCAATCGTCCAATCGTTGTTGGATCGTTTCTTTTCACTTTTTACATTTTACCGCCAAACTGATTCCAGTTTTACTCTTTGCTTTGCTTTTGATGAGTAGGTACTATCAGCTGTCATGTTGTGACATCGTCTTGAGGAGGGGAAGGGTGCGCTTAGAACCGGATACTATCGAAGAAACGGCGGAGGAAGGGGAGGGTGCTCATCCACAGAATCGTGGTTATTATTAATAAATTAACTCATAATAATAGCAGATAGTGCGGATGGATAGTTTCGGTTAGTTACGATGGAAGATTGGAGGATAAAGATTGGGTGGCTGGGAAGGAATGTGCGGAGCAGCAGAGCGGTGCCAAGATTTCCTTTGTTTGTTTTTTTGCTGATGTCGGTTTGGCCGTGGAGAATCTGCGATGGGAAGGCGTTTCTCGGTCCACTGGATCCGATTCTCTGGTGTTGCTGGAAAAGTGAAAGTTTGCGTTAGTATTGGATGAGAGCGATGCGCTTTTTAATGCAAATTTCCTAGGCTAGGAACGTCATTTTGCAGACGCCTTTGTTGATCAAATGTTCGTACATGCATAAAAGTGTAAATGTAAAATAGTTTTTTTTTACTTTGCATTAATTAGTACAAGTGCTGAATTCACAGCGTAATTCAAGAGATTACCTTCGTAACTATTTGATTTGAAATGAATTAGCGGTCTTTTCGTTCATAATCATATTGACAGGGTGTCGCCTATCTAAAAAAAAACTAGAAATTCAGAGAATCTCAGGGAATTCAATTCATGACCTGGAAGCTCAGATAATTTCCTTTAGATTCAAAGAAATAATTCTCAATCCTTTCTTATGATCTCACCAGTCATGTAAAAAAAATCAAACAATCAAATTAAATTGTTTTAAAAACCTTAGACTTCACACCACTGCGTCCTAGCAAGAAGTACGGTCGACTTGTTACGCGCTCCGTTAATTTGGAAGTTTTCTCGCTATTATCTGACGTAAATAATCAGTTTTTCTCGCTTAGTGATTCCTGGCATAATTCTCGATAAATTTATCAAAAAGTGAGTTTTTTCTGAGAAGAAAGTGTGTTTTCGGCATCATCGAAAATTGTTTTTGCGATTGGCAATTCGCCAATCATTTTGCGCACCATCGGTGCGTGGTCACGCATACCTGTGCACACGGATCATCGTCATCGAGTGTCAGCATCTGCCTCCACATTCAAACCGCTCATCCATCTCGTGTGTTCAGCTGAGTGCCGAGCTTCATACAAGCACACACCAACGAAGACCGCCCGCACACGCGGATCGAAGATCATCAAAGCTGCGCGTCGCTCCGCTGCTGCTGTGTAAACGCTCGGTGATAGTAGTATAGGATTATCAGATAAGTTTTTGTTCTTGTTTCTTTCTTTCTCCCATCTGTTAAATTTTAAGTTTGTGTTTCTGTGTTAGTATTTTTTTTTCTTCGTGTATTGTGTCCGAGTAATTTTGATTATCGTTGCAGTGGTAGAGCGTTTTTCGCTCCCACTAGTACGGCAAAATGGACATTTTGTCGGAAGACGAAATGGACGTTTTGTCGGAAGATGACACCACTTTGCCACGCGATAGCAAGAAGGGTCGAGTGTACATCCCTGCTCGTAATGTGGAGATCGACGGTGTGGTCACCGAAGCGAGTCTGACCCCCGAGATCTTGGCGAAGCAAGCGGTTGGCCGTTTCAAGAACCCCTTGCTTCCCACGGTTGAGATACTGGAAGTCCAGAAGCTGAACTCAGTATCTTTCAGCGAGGGTAAAAAGAGCTTTACCCCCACAGACTCGTTTCGGGTGACCTTTTCTGGTTCAGCCCTTCCTCACTACATCGAGTTGGGAAAACTTCGGCTACCTGTGCGTTTGTTTGTTCCTCGGGTCATGAACTGCCAAAACTGCAAACAGTTGGGACATACGGCCTCTCACTGTGGCAGCAAGGCACGCTGTTCCAAATGCGGGGAGAAGCACGAGGATGGCGCCTGCACAGTCACTGCACCAAAATGCGTGTACTGTAAGGGAACTCCTCATGGTCTCTCGTCGTGCCCGGCGTACAAACAACGCGGGGAGAAACTAGAACGCTCTCTTAAGGAGCGTTCCAGGCAGTCTTTTGCAGCAATGCTAAAGACAGTCACACCATCAACCAACGACAAAAATCCCTTTGCTGTTTTGTCTGATGACGAGTCTGACTCTGACTTGGCTGAGGAGGGAGTTTCTTTCAGTTTTCCGGAAGGTTCTGCACGGAAACGAAAACGCATCCGTTCGCGGAAAGTTGCAGATAAGGAACCCCAAATCAGCTTGCCCAAATCAAGGAGTGATGGAAAAAAGGAAGTTTCAACTCCTCCTGGTTTCCGCAGAACTGACTATAACCAGAACTTTCCATCTCTCCCGGGGACATCAAAAACCCCTGATGGCCCATTTTTAAGAACAGAAGCCCCTTCTTCATCCGGGTTGTTCTCATTTGATAAAATTGTGGACGATATTCTCAAGTATCTCAATATTTCTGATCCTCTCAAAAGCATTGTTCTGGCAATGCTTCCTTCTGTGAAGACCCTCTTGAAGCAATTGACATTGAAGTGGCCCCTCATTGCAGCAATCATTTCCTTCGATGGATAATTTTCCAAACGAGGTCGGGGATTTGATCACTGTTCTACAGTGGAATTGTCGAAGTCTCATTCCTAAATTAGATTCTTTTAAGTTTTTAGTTCACAATAATGATTGTGATGCATTTGCTGTTTGTGAAACTTGGCTCTCTTCAGATATCGATCTTCCTTTTTATGATTTTAACATTATTCGACTGGATCGTGAGGATTCACGTGGAGGAGGAGTACTTTTGGGGATCAAAAAGTGCCATTCCTTCTATAGAGTGAATCTTCCACAATTTACAGGTATTGAAGTTGTCGCATGTCAGGCTATTATTAAAGGTAAGAGCCTTTGTATTGCTTCTGTTTATATTCCTCCTAGAGCCGTTGTTAATCGAAAACAACTTTCAGATATCTGTTCGGTACTTCCTGCTCCACGGTTGATTATGGGAGATTTTAATTCCCACGGTACAGGCTGGGGGGAACTGTATGATGACAACCGTTCTACTTTGATATATGACCTCTGCGACAGCTTTAATATGACAATTCTTAACAATGGAGAAGTAACACGTTTGGCTGGCCCATCCTCGAATGGAAGTAGATTAGACCTCACACTTTGCTCTAACTCATTATCGTTGGATTGCACGTGGAATGTGATCCAAGATCCCCACGGTAGTGATCACTTGCCGATCAAAGTTTCAGTTGCCAGTGGGTTCAATCCGTCGGAACCCGTTAACGTCGCGTATGATCTTACCCGTAATATCGATTGGACAAAGTTCAAGAATGTGATAGAAGATGCCCTAACGTCGGTAGAAGGGCTTCCACCGTTGGAGGAATATAACTTCCTCTCCAATCTGATCTTGGACAGCGCGCTTCAAGCTCAAACTCGGCCGGTTCCAGGAACGTCTTTCCGTAGGAAACCTCCTTCCCCTTGGTGGGACCAGCAATGCACTGAGGTTTATCGTAAAAAGTCCGACGCGTTTAAGCTTTTCCGGAAACGTGGAACACCCGTACATTTCGAAGCGTACTCGGCTCTTGAACGCGAACTCAAGAGCCTCATCAAAGCCAAGAAACGCGGATACTGGCGGCAATTCGTGGACGGACTATCGCGCGAAACGTCGATGAATACGCTTTGGAACGCGGCGCGAAGGATGCGTAACCGGTCTTCGAACAACGAGAGCGAGGAGTACTCAGATCGTTGGATTCTCAAGTTCGCGCGAAAAGTATGTCCTGATTCTGTGCCGGCACAGATGATTCCTCGCGAAACGACGAATTCGGTAGACGAGATCAGCCAGCCTTTTTCAATGCTGGAGCTCTCACTCGCGCTCCTTTCGTGTGGCAATTCGGCTCCGGGGGCTGATAGAATCAAGTTCAACTTGTTGAAGAACCTCCCAGACGTCGCTAAGAGGCGCATGTTGAACTTGTTTGGTCAGTTCTTGGAGCTTAATATTGTTCCGGATGATTGGAGGCGGGTGAGAGTTATAGCTATTAAAAAGCCTGGAAAACCCGCGTCAGATCACAACTCGTATCGTCCCATTGCGATGTTATCGTGTATTCGAAAATTGTTGGAGAAAATGATCCTTTTTCGCCTGGACAAATGGGTTGAGTTGAACCACCTACTCTCAGATACTCAATTTGGTTTCCGTAGGGGCAAGGGAACGAACGACTGTCTCGCGTTGCTTTCCACTGAAATTCAGTTGGCTTTTGCTAATAAAGAGCAAATGGCTTCTGTCTTCTTGGATATTAAGGGGGCTTTTGATTCAGTATCGGTTGAAGTCCTTTCAGACAAACTCCACGCTTGTGGCCTTTCTCCATTAATTAATAACTTTTTGTACAATTTGCTGTCAGAGAAACATATGAGCTTTTCTCATGGAAACTCTACAGCTTCACGATTTAGCTACATGGGTCTCCCCCAGGGCTCATGTTTAAGCCCCCTTCTGTATAATTTCTACGTCAGAGAAATTGACAATTGTCTAAGGGACAACTGCACGTTGAGACAACTTGCAGATGACGGAGTAGTGTCTATGACAGGACCCAGAGAGGCCGACCTGCAAGGACCCTTACAGGATACCTTAGACAATTTGTCTACTTGGGCTATCCAGCTAGGTATCGAATTCTCCACGGAGAAAACTGAGTTGGTCGTTTTTTCTAGGAAGCATAGCCCAGCACAACCAAAGCTTCAACTTTTGGGTAAACCGATCACTCATTCTATGTCCTTCAAATATCTTGGGGTCTGGTTCGATTCAAAATGCACCTGGAGATCCCACATTGAGTATCTAAAGCGGAAATGCCAACAAAGGATCAATTTTCTCCGAACAATTACCGGAACGTGGTGGGGAGCCCATCCGCAAGATCTTCTAACGTTGTACCGGACAACGATTTTATCGGTTTTAGAGTACGGTAATTTTTGCTTCCAGTCGGCGGCTAAAACGCACATCATCAAACTGGAACGGATCCAGTATCGCTGTCTTCGTATCGCGTTAGGATGCATGCACTCGACTCATACGATGAGTCTCGAAGTGTTGGCGGGCATGTTGCCACTATCGGATCGGTTTTCGGAATTGTCCCTCAGGCTCCTCACCCGTTGTGAAGTTATGAACCCACTGGTGATTGCAAACTTTGAGAAGCTTCTTGAGCTAAACCCTCAAACTCGTTTTATGTCATTGTACTACGTGTACATAACACAGGATGTCAGCCCTTCGCAGCATAATCCCTATCGTGTTTGCTTCTCCGACTTCGACAATTCTGTTCATTTTGATTTATCCATGACGCAAGAGATTCGCGGAATCCCAGAGCATCATCGTTCCATGATTGCTCCGTCAATTTTCGCTGCAAAGTTTGGCCAAGTTGATTCCGCAAGATCGT